ATGTCAGGAGTAACTCAAAGTCTTAAGTTTTGATGACCGCAGGAACTGTGGCATACTGAGGGAATGTAATTTCTACATGGCACCTGATAGCACGGAATGCTCCGCGCCCCTCCTGGCCGACGTTCACCAGGATTTCTGCTTTTCAGAGTCTGGTTATGCTCCCTGTAGGAGCCTACGTCCTCTGTTCTTGGAAGTCTTCCAGTACCGGTCAGGACTTGCTTAAATCTGTTTATAAATCTTGAGAACTAGGTCACATGAAGATTCTCTTTATGCTTTTGTACCTCTCCTTAGTGTTCTTCATTTATTTCTCTTGTGAAGGTTTGATTAATCCTAGAGGCAAATAAGGGGTGTGGAGGCAGGGCAGGTAGGGGCTAAAGACAACACCATCCTGTGTTGGGTTAAACAGTAATCAGGGCCGAGGGAAGCTTGCAGTGAGACCAGAAGATCTCTGAAAAACGTGATAATGAAGACAATGAAGAGGGGGAACTGGCAACTTTCCTTATCTCCAGTCTTTAGGAGAGCATCCAAACAGAGTGACCTGATGACAAGGTAAAGGAATGTCCTCATAAAGCATCTAAGGGAATCCTCCTGCACGGATTTAGTGGGCATGCAGTCTACCCTATACAGTGCCCCTGCTTGTACGTGTGGGGCACCCCTCCATGCTATCTCAGCCTGCAGCCACCAAAGAGTAAGTAATAAAATGTCTCCAAGTTCTTTCTTTGAAGTTGGTGGACAGTGTGTTTGGGGTGTGTGCATCAGGAGAGAGAGCAGCAGTGCTCCTTTACGTTGGTATGTTCCAGGGCTCCCCAGCAACTATTTCTTTGGGTTAGACGGGCAGCTGTCTTTGCCTGATGCTGCAGTGGAGAGAGAGAGAGAGAGAGAGAGAGAGAGAGAGAGAGAGAGAGAGAGAGAGAGAGAGAAAGAATATGTTCTTAACAGTAGGATTTTCTGTGTATGCAGTCATTTAACACTTAATAAGTTCTTAAGGATGGGCAGAGAACTGTGTTGATCAGCCAATCAGTTAATAAATGGGTATTTGTGAGCATATGAGAGGCCCTTTTGTAGGCCCTGAGATAAGAGACAAACTGTTCTTAAAGAGTTTTTAATCTCACTGGGTGATTGAATGCACACAAGATCGTTGTCTGTGGTTCAAATTGCTTCCCCAACCTGATTGTCATTGTTTGGGTAGGGGACAATGATCACAAGGAAGAAGGAGAAGCTGCAGTGGATAGAAATAATGAAGATTTTTCTTATGTGTATTGTATTGAAGGAATTGGGGAATGAGCTGGATGATTTGGGGCAAATCACTTAACCCCCTGGCCTTGAGTTTCTTCATCTGTAAAAGGAGAGGTTTGGAGCTTCCTTTTGGCGATAACATTCTAAGATTCTGTGATTCCAATCAAGGTTAGTTGGGGCCTTAGATGTAATATTTTAATTTTGCTCAATTCACAAATTTGATGGAGGCCTCCGGACTTTGTGCTTCTCTATCTTTCTCTGTGGGGAATGGAGAAAGCCAATATGGCTGCTGTGTTTCCTCATTAGCATCTGTAAACACACACTCTTTTTCTTCATTGTATTCCAGTGGGTTTTGATACTTTGAATACCATCATGTTGGAGTGTGCTCTTTTGGTCTCCAAGGCAAGAGGTTTCTAAGCTACATTTTATTGAAGTCTTGTGTGCTAGGCTCTATGTTTTTTTTATATGTCAAGCGTTTTATATATATGTCATCCTATTTGATTTGCAGAAGGAAGCATTAACTTTGTTTTCCAAACAAGGAAACTGAGGGTCAGATCAATAATTTATTCAAGGTTACACAGCTTACAACTGCCTGATGAGGTTCGGATCCATCTTTTCCTCATTCCAAAGCCCTTATTCACAGTCCCTGTGTTACAC